TATATTAGATGCGGAGAAATATTTATTCATTTTAGATACTGGCAATAATCGTATTGTTGGTTCAAGCTTGAATGGTTTTCGATGTTTAGTTGGATGTAATGGAGAGGGTTCACAATCAAATCAATTGAATCTTCCATATAGTTTTAGTTTCGATCCTTCTGGAAACATGTATGTCACTGACTCAAATAATCGTCGAATTCAAAAATTTAAATATTTAAAAAGAGATTGTGGTAAGATGAAGTATAATTGAATTAGATAGTGAGATGTAGATGTTAATAATGAAAACCTGTACAGTTTTCGTTAGAAGATACTAGAGCCCAAATCAAAAGAAAAAATTATTCATGGAACCTTTCTGATCGAAAAAAATAAAATTGCGTAAATGAAATAATTGATTACTTTGACAATTTCAATATAAACTAAGTAAATTCATTCACGATATTAAATTTCAATTGATTATAGATATTCTTCTATTAAACATTCTCACCTTCAATATGTGAAGATAGCTATCAGATCAGAAAAATCATCAAAGATTTTGATTATTATCCAAAGAATAACACACAGAACTCCTTAGATGTCTACGTAGAAACTATCTGATCAACGTGAACAATATTATGTTTTATCTGATTGATTGATTGCGAAAAAAATCCTTAGTTAAATCTAATTACTGAGAAGTTTCTCTCTCTTTTCAGTGGTTAGATTTTGTTTCGAATTTTTAAGTTTCATGTAAAAGTTAAACATTGTGCTGTATATGCCAATCAAACAATTTGATTAGATCCTCTTCAATACTGTTCGCCCTATAGAATATTTTATTTTTTTCAAGATGTCGAAAAACAAATAATGTTATAGAATGAATTCAAATCATTTCAAATGATTTACGGCAAAGAAACAGTTTGATAGACTAGGGGCGTATATTTAAAGATATTAAAAATATCTATTCAAAGTGATTTGCATCTCTGTATACTCACGGGAGACTTCAATTGATTTTATTGTTCATTTAGATAAAACTTCCTCGATTCTCCAAAAGATCTATTCATCATTATTGACTAACAACAATCAAATTTATTATCGAGATTGTCAGAAAGAAATTTTTTATTATGAATCTATTCAAGTGCAGGTAATCGAAAGTGGTTACTACACTTTTCGTGGTAGTGGTGAAATCGATCCATATGGATCTATTTACAAAACGAAATTTAATCCACTTGACCCATCAGAGAATTTGCTCGATCAAGAGTATGGCCATGGCTCTGATATTCACTTTAAACTTGATATTCATCTTAATGGTGACATGGCATATATATTAGTTGTGACAACATTCGAGTCAAAAGACACTGGAGAATTTTCGATTGTTGTGTCGGGTAAAAACAAAGTTATTCTCGAGCGTCTTAGTAAGTATATAAATATTTGTGTTATATATTAAATAATTCTTACGAAATATATAGTTTATCTTCTATATTTAATTCTTTCTTTTATTCTATATCAAGGGAATGTACTGAATTTATACTATCAAATGTTAAGGCATTTTCTAGTAGAGTATTTATTCGTGTATTTTTCTATCGCTATCTTAGTCGATGGATACTGTTTAATTTCCACAAGTACTAGATGAAAAATGTGCTAAGAAGAATAGTTAATGAGCTGTTTGCAAATATTTGACAGTCAAATGCTGAGAAACCAAAGAGTGTCTTGCTGTATCTCAAATACTTTTAGATTTGTATGACATACTGATGTCAGAATATTCATTTGGAGGATGTGAATTTGGTACAGTCACTAGTCTCTAGTTGTACAATTAAATCTTCATAGAAAATCTCAAAGATTTCACTTTTGTCGATATTAGATAATAGTTTCATTGACGAACTGGTGCCAAACTAATTTTCTTTTTTGCTAGTCACTAAATATTTTCTGAATGGAATGTGAAAGACAGAAATTTGTAATAGTATTGAAATTAGGGGTGGCAAAGTTACTTTACTTTACCAGTAACGCAGTAACTACAAAGTTACTGAGTTACTTGTAACTAGTAACTACAAAGTTACCGAGTTACTAGTTACAAGTAACGCAGTAACTCCTGTAGTTACTAGTAACTCAGTAACTGCTTTACTGTAACTACATGGTAATAAGTAGTATTATTTCAGATAGTGTCAATATGATTTCAAATAGCATAAACAAGAAGTTTTATACCAAACGAAAGCCAATTGAAAACAAAATTTACGAGTATAACCCGTCATTCAAAAGACGAGCATGAACTGCAGAATTAAAGCAAGCTTGTTGTGAGCGAACATGTCCATAGATAGTTAGCGACAAGAACATAAAATCAGCAGAAATATTTGCTATTAATGGAACTCTGTACAGCTTTCTTTACTGAACATTTTGTTTAAAGTTTTTTTAAATTTGATCGATACATAACGACCCTAGGGTCGGAGTACTGGAATTTTCAAAATGCTCTGGTTGTTATAGCTTAGATATGTTTAACTATTCTGATCTTAACAGCATTATTTATTCATCAAGTTTTAGGAAAGTTATTACCAAATGTCGACCAAAGAGAGCTCTACAAAGTCCAATAAACAAAAAAGCATTTCTGAGAATTTTATGGTTTAGTGACTGACTATCCTACTTAAGGCAGTGGTCAGTGTTTTCGTTTGATTTTGTTTAACGGGGGAAAGTTTTAGGGAGAAAATCTTCCAAAGCTAGGGAGAAACAATGTTTCTATTAGATTTTTTACATTAAAATATATTCTTATCGGTAGTTATTCAATGTCTGATTATTATTTAGTAATATTTTCTCCCTTTTCTTTTGTGCCAATGAATCTAGGCAAAAATTTCAATTCGATGAAAATGAGCTTATTTTTCTACACAAAGGTGGTTCACATTAATAGCTTTAAAATGTTGTCTAATATTTATCTACTTTCTACCAATACTGTTATCGTCACTGTAGTCGTCGAAATAATTTTTCGTGAAATCTATTCACTTTCTCTTAGATTTTAATTATTTCCTCTTAGTCATAAAGACGGTCATATCAATCACACCCTGACCAAAAACGTTTCAAGTTTTCCATAATAAAGTTTTGGATATACATATAACTAAAGAATTACTTCTACAGGTGTATTTTATTCAGAATTTTTTAATCATGAAAATGCAGCATGAAACTTCAAGATATGATACTTAGGTATAAGAGACTACTACTTACTACCCATAACAAGAAGTGGTTATGATTGGCTGTGGGTCATTCCAGTCATGAGTAGTAGGCAGAGATTTTATATATTGGTGAATATTATATGTTGAAGTGTCATACCGACTTCTGATGTGCACAAAATTCTGAGCAAGAATCACTTATAGAAATTTTTTTTTAGTTATACATCCACACGTTATCACAGAAAATGTAAAAGTTTATTAGACAAGACTGACACAAATATCACTAGTTATCTAGCACACCATCTTTTATTCTCTTTGATTTTAAAGCATTTTTTCCTTTAAAATAGCTATTTTCTCTTTCAAATTTCAAAGAGAAAGGAGCCAACTACAAAGAGAAAATAGTCTAAGCTCCAAGAGAAAATATATTAAATGCAAAGAGGAAATAGCACATATTGGGAGAAATAGTTCTGCTTGTCTTATTAAGAGAAAACTATTTGTACCAGAAAATACAGTAAGTTCACCCAAGAATAGCTCAGCACGCCTACTATATGATATAAAATCGCTGTGTTCGTAGAATTCTCAAGGAGAAAGCTAAAACATTAAAAAAAAATTAGCGGGAAAATCCCTCCCTTTTCTCGTATTCCTCCGTAATCGGATGGCATGGGAGTGTCGATTCACGCGAAACTTGCCCATATCTAATACGGTATTCTCAATTTCTGAATGACGGGTTATACTCGTAAATTCTGTTTTCAATTGGCTTTCGTTTGGTATAAAACTTCTTGTTTATGCTGTTTGAAATCATATTGACACTATCTGAAATAATACTACTTATTACCATGTAGTTACAGTAAAGCAGTTACTGAGTTACTAGTAACTCGTCCACCCCTAATCGAAATTCTATGGATTATTTCACTTTTTTTATTGAATAGGTACTTCAGTTAATATTCAGTTCAGATATTCATCAAAATTAATCGATGATAGTCCAACATATTATCGAGATTGTCAAGTACCACAATGTCATTATGATGCTTTACAAATTCATATTAATACAACGGGTTTGTATGTTCTTTGGAGTGAAAATAATATTAATGCATATGGATATATCTACAAAAATGATTTCAATCCTCTAAAACCATCTGAAAATCTACTTCTATCACATGATGGTAAATGTAATGATGGAGAGTTCAAATTAATCATCGATCTCGAGATCAACACTCGATACATATTAGTTGTGACAACACAAGATCCTAAGATAATTGGAAACTTCTCTGTTGTTATCTCTGGACCAAACAATGTCAGTCTTAGTCCTTTCAGTAAGTATTTACATGATTTTTTCTCTAATAAATATATAATTGCATAAAACACGTAAAAAGAATATTTCTTGTACCCTTTTTGATTAGCGAGGAATTGTTATTTTCGGTTTTGAAAAAAGATCTATCGAACTATTGAATCAAATAGTTTTTGGAATCTTTGGATCTATTGATCTGTTAGAAAAGACATCTGTTTAGCGTGAATTCTAGATGGATTTTCCAAACTTTGAATGTTACTACTCACATCCATTTAAATCTTTATGGACACGGAGTTTCTGAAGTCTCGAAATCTTGCAAAAAAATTTACTTATATGTGAAAAATGCACAGATTCCAATACATTAGAAAACCTTTTCACTTGAGAAACAAATAAATTACCGAAACTGAATATTTCGTAGTCGAAACAACTGAATTTCTTCATTATTCTCTTATTAAAATGTATCCAATATTTTAGGCCCAAAAGAAAGTAGTTGTGTGATCGGTGATCGATGTAACTTTTATATCAAAGGAATTGGATTGACACTCGATGATATTTTACGCGATAAACTTCAATCGAATACAGTGTTGAATAATCAATCATTTTCGATCAAATTAAGTGCGGGTTTAACAATAATTATGTTTGTCGCAGGATTAATCAATAGTATTCTTTCTTTTATTACATTTCAACATAAAGATTCTCAACAAGTTGGATGTGGAATGTATCTATTAGCATCATCGATTACATCTCTTTTGGCAATTAGTATGTTCATAATCAAATTCTGGTTTGTTGTTCTCACTCATATCAATGTATCCACTAGTCTTTCTGTTCTTCGAGGAGGTTGTGCATCTATCGAACCAATTCTAAAACTTTTTCTCTATTTGGATGGTTGGCTAAATGCTTGTGTAGCAGTTGAAAGAGCACTACTTATTTTTAAAGGAGTAAAATTTGATAAAAAAAAGAGCAGATCTATTGCTCGACGAACAATTCTTATTTTACCATTCTGTATTTTCGGTACTCTTATTCACGAGCTCGCATTTCGCAGACTGTTCGTTTATGAAACAGCACCAGACACGACAAATACGAATAAGACTATTGAAGACACAAACAATCGATATGTATCATGTATCACTCATTATTCTCCTTCTATCCAAGATTACAATACAGCCGTTCTATTTTTTCATCTTGTTGGTCCATTTATTGTTAATCTTTGCTCTGCATTGTTCATCATCTTTGGAGGTGCTCGACAACGATCAATGGCACGAACTAACAAAAGTCTTAAAGAACATATTCAAGAACAATTCAGTGAACATAAACAATTGATCATTAGCCCAATACTTTTACTCATTTTATCAATACCTCGTCTCATCATTTCATTACTTCCTGGTTGTGCGAAAACGTCTAAGAACTTGTGGTTGTATCTTGGAGCATATTTCATTTCTTTTACTCCTTCAATGCTAATCTTTCTTATATTTGTCTTTCCTTCGAAATTGTACATGAAAACGTTTAAACAATCCTTGATCCGTATTCGACGGCGTACTGCTTCTTAATCAGTTCGTTCAGTTTCACTGATATGACTATTATAATAAATGCAAAAGATATTATTTATTTGTTCACGTGTCGTAATGAATCAACAGATACACTGTTGCATTTGGAAGCTATGTTTGAAAAAAGACATTCAATACTTATTTATAGCTCGCCATGAATGATAACGAATGGTGCATACACAGAAAACGATCGCTTTTATGTACTTTTATTAGTTAGAGATAATAAAGACTCATGAAGAAATGTTGCGAAATGGCTGTGTGTCTATTAGACTAAGTGATAAAGATCAGAAGAAACTATGTCAACTTTACACAAACTATATTCTTTGCAACATTATTCACGTTTCTTCTTGTCTGTCTGTCTGTTATGTGCTTTTCATATTGTTTTATTTTCTTTAGTAAAATCGAGCAGAAGTGCTGAGATGTGCAAAAAGAAAGAATTGGGTATATATTCTATGAAACTTCAAATAAGTCTCTCAAACTGACACTGACGAAATGTTTTGATCTTTTAAAAGATCTTATCCGCTGGCATAATATATCTGCATAAAAAAGTTATTAAAAACATCTTGAGGGTATCGGTGAGGGTGAGGATGTTTTATTTATTCCCTCAAACAGCGCTATTACCTTCATAGCTTGTGCTTTTTTCTGATTAGCTTTAGTTGACAAATGTTCCGAATCATTGTTTTTAAGCCAGGGATTTAAACGCTGCATAATCCTTTCATTCAGAAAAGAGGACAACAAGCAGATGATTATTGACATCAAATGGTATGTCACTATAAAGAAAATGACTTCATTAAGTTAAATCTGAATTTTGATGTTAAATTTTGCATTAGTTAGCCTCACAATCCCCCATTGTTCATATTTATTGGATAAGGATACCATTGTTGATTGACAAGTAGATAGAAGAGTTCGAACGGATACAATGCTATGGCATGCAATGTTTTTTTTGTTTTTAAAAGGGATTCTGTAAAACATTTTGATGCATTCAAAGCAAAAAATAAATGAATTCTTCATCGTCTATAATGCTACATGAATAGGACCGTGTATATAAAAAATTCTACTTTTCAACTTTTTTATAATTGATATTACCAATATAGATTGTGTCACTTCTTGTTGATAATCTATCAATCACTATTTGATTAAATATTGTATATTCTGTTGATGTGTCTGTTCATATAGTTAACATCTATTATATATTCCTACATGATAATTACTAGTGGTAGAAATATTTTACTGATTTCATATTGTTTTTATACAGTTATTGACTGTAAATATTGATAATGAAAGTATAGCCATATGAAGTTAAAAATATTTAGCTTTGTATAGACCATTCCAATTTTCTCCATCAGCAGTAAAAAAAGAAATACTATATGTGAAAAAAGTTTTCATAATTATCAAATTCATTTGGCATTGTTAGAAGATCTTACAGCTTACAAAAATCGTTCGTAAATGCAAAATTATAAAAATTTCGATATTTATATGCAATTGAGATGTATTAGTCATCCAAAGGTTATAAAAGAGTAAATTAATGAATAATGAAATAAGATGAAAATAGAATCCTATCATCTTTTTGACTTCAAATTAAAACAATAAAGGATGTTGATGATGATGATGATGATGATAATTGATTGTGTATTATTGTTGTTAACAGAAGATAATGAACGGCATTTTCTTGTTTTATGTTGTATTTTTTCTAGAATCTGTACTCATTTTTGTAAATAAGTCCATTTACTATATATGTCGTTACTATATAAATGGATTTTAATTATAAAACTAATTTTCTCATTTAAAACAAAAGAATTTTCGGAAAGTGGTATGAATTTCTATTTGTCTTGTTATTATCCTTATTCTTTTCCTTATTTGTAAACGATGTGGGTGTGGGTGTGGGTGGGTCTCAGTATGGATGTGGGTATAGTTAAAGATGATGAATAAGTAAGAGAGAGGCATCCACACCCACATCCACCCTCAATCATAGAATATTTCTTTTTTATATATTTTCTAGATTAGGCTTTGACAGCTTCAATTATTCAATGCTTATGAAGGGAAATTGAAGCGATATTATATGACTCATTAGTCATTCGAATCGTCGACTTCACTTATATTCTTATGAAAATTTTTTTTTGTCGCAGTCTGTTTCAGGTATTACATCATATAAAATAAATGTATGTACTTTTTCGTCCGTTCTCTTTTTTCTAAGCAATATAATTATAACGTTATTCATTTACATAATATGACGTCATTTGAATGTGAATAATCAATGTAAACATTTTTCATATTTCGATAGAGGAATATAGTGAGTTTGATAAAAAAATTTATATTTTATTATAGCTTCGTTATTAAATTATATTATTCATGTTTGTACAAATATTTATCTTCTGTTCGATGTTTAATTATTATGCCACTAGTTTACAAGCTAGTGACTTCTACGTTCAAAATTTACCTCTTCTACCAGACGCTGAATCTACTATTCGTATGCATGCTGGATATCTACCAGTTGGTTCAAAAAATGATGGCGAATTATTTTTTTGGCACTTTGCCAAAAAATTCATAGATGATAAACCAAGAACAATCATTTGGTTAAATGGAGGTCCTGGTCAAAGTAGTCTCATTGGAGCTTGGACAGAAATTGGTCCTTTTCGATTTTTAGATAAAGATACCATAGTTACAAATAATGGTTCATGGCATTTCTATGCTAATCTTTTATTCATTGACCAACCTGTTGGTACTGGGTTTTCTTATGTTGATAGAGGGATGTTTATTGAAGAACTCGATGTAATGGCAGAACATTTTCTCAATTTTTTCGATCGATATGTTGAGATATTTCCTGAATTCCTTGGAGAAGATATTTATTTAGCTGGTGAATCTTTTGGTGGTCAATATATTCCTTATATTGCAAAAGCAATTCTTGAAAAACGATCATTATCGAAACTACGTGGTCTTCTCATTGGAGATGGATGGATTGATCCAATTTCTCTTTACAATTCATATTTACCATATGCAATTGCAAACAATTTAGTTAAAAACGACTCTGAACTTCATACTAATATTACTCGTCTAGTTGCAATATGTCAAGACATATTGTCGAAACAAGTACATATTTTTGTTAATCCATGTTTTGCTATTCTCGATGATATAATATATAATGGTATAAGGAGGGAAAATAACGGAGAATGTATCAATGCCTATGATATACGATTAAATGCACAAAAACCGATGTGTGGAATGAATGGGCCATCTGAACTTGACTATGTTTCCGCTTATTTAAATCGACAAGATGTTATGTCTAGTATTCATATAAATGGAAAGAAATCTCAATGGAAAGATTTTACAGAATCGGTTCATAACGCATTTCAAGCATTTAATTCTAAACCTTCTATCGATCTATTGCCTGATTTACTTGAACAAATTCCAATCTTACTCTATAATGGTGAATATGATTTAGTTTGTAATCATTGGGCAGCAGAGAATATGTTGGATAATATGACATGGAATGGTGAATCTGGATTCGATTTAGGAAATGGTAAAGTCGCTCCAATTTATGCATGGATTGTCGATGGTGAATCGGCAGGTTATATACGCTATGCGCGAAATTTAACTTATATTCTTTTTTATAATGCTGGTCATATGGCTCCTTATGATCAAGCACGTCGATCACAAGCTATGTTATATCAATTCATACAACTGAATTTAAGTTATTCTAACAATCAAATAGGAACTAATCGAAAATCGAACTATGCAATATCAATTGTGTTTACTGTGATCCTTAGTATCATAGTTTCTATTGGCGTCATCTGGTTATTTATTCTTAAACAACAACAATGTCTAAGGATTACATCAGTACATTGTCCTAATCTATTTCGATCTAGGCAACAATCAACAACTTATTCACCTTTTAAGATTATAAATGATGAATTTGTTACATTCGAAGATGATATTTTAGTATAATGTACATCGAATTTAGCGAAATTATACTCATTTTGTTTTTTTTATATTTATTAATCAGGATAAATTCGGGTGTGGGTGTGGGTGTGTGAATTAATCACTCACACTTTTCAAATGCTGAATTTAGAAGGAAACTAAATTACTGACGAAGAAACAAATCTTTCAAGAATTACACTTTGATAAACAACACGTGATTATTTTTATTCAAAAATAAATTCAATTATAAAATATAAAAAGAAGATATAGATTATCTCTAATTGGGTTTTTCAACAATATTGTTTCATGTGTGCAAATTTGTACTGAGATGAATTACATGTAATATCACATGTACATATAAGTTTTTGCAAGTTCGACGTGGATTGAGTAGAATAGATTGCTTTTAATTCACGTTAATATTTAAACTTGACGGCAACGTCTTGTAACTGATTCGATAAGAAAAGTACGTACTGGTTGATTAGTAGATATCAACGTTATTACGCCTTGAAGTACAGATGACGCTACTAGTATTTGGAAAAAAACATTTAAACCGTATGGAATAGAAGCAGTTTTGTTGAATAGCTGCATTACAAAGAAAGGAGTCCATCCGACTACAAACGTAATAAAAGTACTAATTGTTATTTTGAGTAAAACTATATCACGTTTATGAGATACTTGACCAGTAGTATTTGCAGCATGGACTCGACGAGTAGAATTACGTACAAACAGAAGAGTACGAGTATTACACATGGTAATGATTGTAATCGGTAGGAAAAGAATAATAATGATGGAATAATATGGCAAAAAAGTTGTTTCCACTGAACTTGAACATAAAAAGCCGTTCAGAAATAAGTAAGGCGAAGCGACGATAAAAGCCATCACCCATCCACTAATGATATAACTCCACAGATATATATTAGAACGAAAGGTATGTTTATGTGCATAAACGATAGTGAGTAATCTACTAATAGCAATTGCGCAATGTGAATACGTTAACTGACACGTAGCTGTAACTGCCAAAAAACCTTGGACACGACAGGATAAATAACTGGATTTGTTGAGTAGTTCTGAAACATTCATCACTACCAAAATAATACCTAACCATGCACTTGCGAGACAAACGTTGACTGTGAACCAATTGAGTTTAT